CTAGTGCTGGAGGCGAGTCAGTTCCTAGTCAAACCGTCTGACACCTAATCCAACCACCAACATTACAAAAATTCTATTCTTGTTGTTGTAAATTTCAAATACACTGTAGGATAACTTTCTTTTACCTATCATAAGCGGATGCGATAATCTAGCACGAAGTGTTTGAAAAAAGTCTTTCACATTGAGCGCAACAAATGAAAAATTCACGTTTCTGATAGCACTTTCCACCTGGATTTGTTTTGTCTCACTCTAAGAAATGTTTTGGGAAGAAGCACCTGCACCTGCTGTTTGGACACTTCCATATTACCAAACATCAACGACCCCCTAGATGTGCTTGCTGTTTCCTCTTCATCCCCCGGTTCCCACAGTGGATCGGCCTCCTCGTCCTCGATCACGCAGTCTTCTTCACCCTCAATATCGATGTCTTCGTGAAAGGGATTTTGCGAGATAGAGAAAAGATAGAGAAGAGATATCTATCAATTTGTGCTCCTTCCTTCTAAAGCGCGTTCAACATCACAGGATCCGAAATACTCCTTGTTCTTTAGTGGCACATCCATCCATTTATACCATACTTTGCCGGCTTTGCCACATGGCAACCCCCACCTTTTTCGAAAATTGACCGCAACCCCCACCTTTTTTAAAAACCAATCGATAGCAGTGGAAGGTGGTTTAAGTAGGAACTGACTCGCTTCCAGCAACTAGAAAGTCGCTGAAGGCGGTAAAACTATTATAAAAGCTTTTTACACCTTAGTGGAAAAAGTCCTGCAAAATGCAAAAACGCCGCCGCCCATCAAACCCGATCCTTGGTCCCGTGCCTGTGAAGTGTCACACTTACCTCCACTCCAAGCCGCCACTTCTACGCTACCTGCGACCATGGCTTTTGTGCCTTCCCCTGTTGAGCGCTCTCCGGAGACCACCTCCATAACTTCGCTCAGAGAATCGTTTGGCAGATTTTGAATGCAGATTTGAAATCAGCATCGAAAAATACGTCTAGCAGTATAGGTCTCATTTCAAATGGCCACTTCGACTGGGGATCCTTCCCTTGTAAGACAACCTCAGAAAAATTTGGTGCCTGCATTTTGACGTTGTCGCTACACCGCTCCTCAGTGAAATAGTAAATCTGTCAGGAAATAAATTTAGAGAGATTGCACAAGCCTAGACCAACTGCAGCTGAATATCGTTCCGTGACAGGATCTGTCCGATGCCTCATTCATCTTACTGCAAGTTTTCAGTTTTCATCCGCAATAAATATGCGTAGTGATATGCGTTTTTACTTTTCAAACGTAACTTCCTTAAAACATAAAATTTTTTCTTAGTCTCCCTATCTCTGAATGTGGTCAGGGAGCAATTTATCAGCAGTTTTAATGACTTGTGAAATATTGGGTTCGGAAGTTTCTTTTCGGGAAGTCCGGAAAGTCTTCTCGAACACTCTGGGTTTATCAACTAGTGCATAAACGATCAAGGACCTAACCTAGTAAAATTATATATTTTCCGAAGTTTTAAGTCCGCCCCTATATTTTGTGTCAAATCCGTTTGCATAGGGCTCGTGTTTGAATGGAGTACCAACGCGTGCGTTTCTGGCACCTAATGCTTTCTTATACCGCAACGCCGAGAACGCAGCTTAAATCGTCAAACCGTTAGAAAGACTTGTGACATTTACGGAGGCAATACTACAGGTGTGCGCACAGTGCATGAGTGGCATGCGAATTTTTATCAAGATAGCCTTACCTCGATGAACGGCAACGTTCCAGGAAGCTATCATCATTTGGAAGCGATCGAATCAAAATGTTCTAATCGAAACGAATCAGTACATCACCACTCGTGAAGTAGGAGAAGGACTCGCTTTTCCGAAATCAACCGTCCATGACGATTTGCTGGAGCTTGATTTTGTTAAGCGCTTTGATGTTTGGGTTCCTCACGAACAGATCAAGTGCAAGTGGTGGACCGTGCCTCCATGTGCGACTTGTCGCTCAAACGAAACAAAAATGAGCTGTTTCTGAAACACATGAAAACGGGGGGCGAAAAGTGCGTGGCGTACAACACGAGGAGCCTTCCCAGTGAGCCGTCCCAAACCACTCTAAGGGGGGAAGTCAAAATCTAGGTGCCGAAGATTATGCTGTCTTGCTGGTGTGATGAAAAGGGAATCATTTAATATGAGCTGCTACCGCATAGTCAAGCGATAACTTCGAAAAGTTCCTGTACTCAGCTAGACAGACAGACAGAAGGTAAGCGATAGACCAGAAGCATAAAGAACTGGCCAATAGTAGGGCGTTGGCTTCCAAGAGGATAACACCAGATAACACATATTCTTGGTCACTCGTCAAAAACTGCTGAAACTTGGGCTGGATGTCTCACCACAGCCCCATATAGTCCAGACATAGCACCACCAGACTAGCATTTGTTAACCCATTGACGACCATGCAGTCCACATGTGGACTGCACTTTTTCGGCCACGTGGGACCATGCAGTCCACATGTGGATTGCAGTTGTATTTTTTGTTTTATTCATCTATATTTCCATTTTTCACGAATTTTCTTCTCAAAACATTACACTAGGCCTAAATGAAACTACATACAGCGTGGTCCTAGAAAATCTTTTAATTTTACATTTGTAACGGTGTTTTTTTTTTGAAGGAGTACATTAACTTGGTGAATTCTTCGTTCGTTGAACAACTTCAAAAAAAGGAAATATTTTTGAAAGACGGTCTTCATTAGCATTTTCGCTGTTATCGACTTAACGCAAAGCTCCCAACGCAACGCAATTAAAGTTCCCCGAAACGATTTCTGGTAATGATTGAACTCATAATTGAATGACTACTAGGACGAGTGCCGGTTCTATAAGAAAGATCAATAATCACTCAATGTGGGCATACTTACCAAACCCATTTGAAGGAACATTCCTAAAAACTTATAATTTTCTCTTATAAACTTCAAAAAATGGTCATGCTGAACCATGAAGTCCACATATGGGCTGCAGTCGCTGGTAGACTAAAAGCGCGCTGGTCCCACGCGGCGCTTTTCCCGCAAACGTCGTGGTCGTCAATGAATTAAGGTTTCTGCAGAATTCTTCAAATGGAAAATCGGTCAATCTCCTGGAGGACTGCAATTAGACTTGGAGGGTTTTTCCACTCCAAGTCCAAGTCTGGAACTTCTACGAAAGCGGGATGATGAAACTTACAGGAAAATGGCGCGAACCACTACAAAACAGAATGGACGATATATTACTTGATGAATGGATTTGTTCTTCAAGAACTTCACTCAAAGAAAGATGACTAAGAAATCGGCGGAGACCCTCACCCATCCTCTATTCCGACTTCACTTCTGAAAAAAAGGTCAAGCACCATCACGCCATTATGACTTCAGTCCGCCTTAATTCCCAATTTATCAATACAACCAAAGCGAATATAACAAGTATGACATTAATGCTTTGTGGCATTAACTTTGGCATCGTGCAGCTTGAATCGGCGCAGCGTGGGTCTGATGGTTTGTAGATTCGTCCTAAGGTGTTTTCTTCCACGCTGTGTTAAGTTGAGGAACTTTTCGTGCTCATTGTGAGCCCTAAGGCTTTTAACTTGACGCTCGAACTTATCCTACAGATGTTCAGTGGGATTCAGATCGGGGGAATGCGACGGTCACAGCAGTAGAGGAACGGAAGCACATCGATCCGTTTCGGGTCATTGTGCTGCAGGGAAATCAAGCCACTGGGAACTGCGAAAAATCAGATAGCAACCTCCACAATGTTGACGCACATCTTGGAAGCCATCTGACCCTCGATACCGCGGAAGAGACCAACTCCATTGCAACAGAAGCTGCCGTGAACATCACCGTACCCCCGCCACCCTTCACGGTCGTCATCTGTTCACTTGCACAGTATCTACAGTGTGTCTCAAAATTATGGGTGCCAAAATTCAAACTTTTAAGATGGAAATAACTTATCAAATTTCATTTCACTCACGATTAATTATTTACAGAAGCAGATCTTCTTGCAGTATGCATAGTTGTTGAAGTCAAACTCCCATTGTCTTCAAGATGGCACAGCCTCATTCAATGCCGCTTGCAATCACTGGCATGCGAGGCAGAAGGGTATCACAAGATTCCTATCGTATCCGTTCAGAAGGCTATTAAACGAAAAGGAAGCGCTAGAAAGACCGTCATTCTTAAAAATAGAACTATAAAAATGGCGAATTCACCGTGTCCTGGCTGACCCATTAAGAAGACGGCAAGAAAAGGACTTAAGCTGGCAGCTTCGAGTCAGCTCAAGATCGTGGGCGAATTGCTAAGCAAAAGTTTTACTGCCATTCCTATCGTATGCAGAAATGAAGCTACTTTCGTATTCAACAGCCAGTGTAGGGCCAAAATGCAGAGTTGCTAACTCACTTGAGAGTGAACGCGCAATTCTTCATCGTTTGTTTCTGGCTAGTAAATTTTTATGACAAAACCATTCCTCAGCAAATATCACCATCACGTTCTGGCTGGAAGAATTGAACGTGCAATTTATCACAAAGTTACTATAAGAACAGCTAAACGATGTTTATTGAGGTGATTACTGGCAAGGGTGAAAATCTCGTGGTTTCGTCTGTGAAAATTAACAAAGACTTGAACTTAAAGAGCATACTAATGAATGTAATGAAGCACAAGAAGATGAAAAAGAACCTGCGTGCAGCATGTGAGAAATTCGAGAACAAACTCTGGCTCTCTTTCCGCTCATAGGAGATATTTTGAAGTGTTATTGGAGCATGTTGTAGCATATAATCTTACAAACGTGCATATAGACTCCATTGTCATTCTCGTTTATAATTATGGGACACCCTGGACATCGCACAAACTTGGTTCCACCGCTCCCGAACAGCTAACTTGACCACTCCATATAACCTTACTCCATCTTTGGAGATCCAGAACTTGTGGGATGAGAACAATCGAAAAGCGCTTCGCGATTCAGGGCGGAAATCAGCGGCTTCCCTAATGGACGACGTCCTAACAGACAGGCCTCTCTCAAGCGAGCTCGAGTAGTCTTCCCGAACAGGTGGGTGTCGAGATTCCGCGTAAAATTTTGACGCGGGCCATTCCCTGCACGCTGCACAATATTTCCGTCGACAAGAGGAAGCGCCAATCTCGCTCTTCCTGGGTGACTTTTGACTTCGACCGACCCAGTGAATTCCAATTTCTTTCAATTCATAGGCCAATTCAGGCAGGGATGGAATTGTGAAAATCTCCTACGCACGTGTCTATTTTTTCCACTTGTGAGCAAGAACACTACTGTCTCCAGATCGTATCCATGGAATAATTTTTGCCCCTATGCAGCACCTTCTTAGAAATGCCGCTCATGAACATGTTTTGAACGATTTTCACTCTTTCGATGAAAAAGAGCGGTATCGCTCCTATGGCAATGTGCCGAAGCGCGTACTGCATCCAAGCAAGGCATAGCATTTGTTCTTTTTTCAAAACTTTCCTCGTAAAAAAGTTCATAAGGCCTGGATACAATCATATTTCCTCGCGGAGACTATTCTCATTGAAGTAAAACATACATTTAAGCCGCCAGTCATTTTCTAGCGTTTCTGCAGGTTTCGTAGCGTAATCATTATCAAGCAATTGCATTCGAAAAGGGGTCGTAATCGAGGCAAAAACACCTTAAGGCTACTCGTTGACCTAATCCAGCATCGCGATACGAGATACTGTTATGCGAGAAATGTTAAAACAGGGAGAGGTCCCGGAAATGGACTCATCAAATGCGCGCAGAGACGGAATGGCTACCAGGTGGTCGCGAGGCTTCACCATTTCTCGAAAACTGACGAAAAGAAAGCACCAGAGGAGACAGTGAGTCAAGCTATGGGATAAACA